TTAAACACTATATCTCAATAAAAGACACTGGATTTATGGCTTATTATAACAGTCTGTAACCCACTAACTCCCCTTTTTTTGTCCTATGACTGCAGAGGTGTTAACGGGCCACTTCAGCTTGGATGGTCTATTAGAAAACATGTTAATCACTTATGCTAAGGTCATGTCTACACTTGCCATGTAAAGTGCAAAAAGTCCTTTTCTGTGCAAAAACTGTGGAAGTGTCTACACTTGCCAATGACTTTTTGCGGTGAAACTCAGAATTTCACCACAAAAAGAACATCACCTCCACGAGAGGCATTCAGTTCTTACCAGTGATACTTCTGCGGTGATGTGCAAGTGAAGACATGTTCTTCCTGTTTACACAGCTTTTAGCAGCTCTGCTGCTCTGACACCAGGTAAACAGACGTCTGCCCCTCTCCCTGTAAAGCCCCAGGAACTCTGAAACTCCCCTTCCTGTTTTCCTGGCAAGTGCTCACTTATCTGGCCAGGTGACAATGGCTGCTCCATGGAGCAAAGGATCCCCTGCTTGAGGCAATGCTGAGCTACTGGAGCTGATCAGTGTTTGGGGAGAGGAAGCTGTGCAGGGACGCAGGATGCCCCACCGATCACCCTCCCCCCCACAAGACCTATCCTCAAAATGGAGAGAGCTGCACTGTGGGATAGCTGCCCTCAGTGCCCTGCTCTCATCGGCGATGGAAGTCCTGCAAATGTGAACACGATCTGACGCCTGTGGAAGTAAGTGAGAACACAAACCAGCGCTTTTCTTTTACCAGTTCCCTATCACTGGTGAAACTGACAGCGCAAAAACTCTGCAAGTGGAGACAGAGCCTAAACAATCTGTTCCACCTTGTATTTAGCGTGACACTCTGAGTACCTTTCCTGGATCTGAAGAAGAGCTCTGTGTAGCTCAAAAGCTTGTCTCTTTCACCAACAGAAGCTGGGGCAATGAAAGATATTACCTTACCCACCTTGCCTCACTGCAAACAATAGGTTGAATCATAGAATATCAGGGTTGGAAGGGACCTCAGTAGTACGTGTTTGTTCTGGAAGCAAATGCTGGCACATGCAGCAGGCAAAGTCTGCACGAGTGCATTGCTTTGTTCATGAAAACTGTAAAAGACTTGCCTGCAGTAAACATCTGGAATCTATGTGGTTATTTAGTATAAGCCCCATTTTAAGCTTACACTAAGCCAGCAATAATATGGTGCTTCAGAAAGCAACTGCCACAAGAGGTTTCAAACCACAACTCTTCCCACACTGAATTATTATTCCTTCACATACACATATACACCAGGTGAAATTATATCAATAAGCAATGGCAAATTTGAAACATGACTATTCAAACTGAAAAACTATGTACACTGTGGGCTAAACTCTGAGGTCTTCACTTGGATTTTATTTAGTCTTTACTCAGGCAAACTCTCACTGAAGTCATCTGCATGGCAAACACCCAAAACAGCACAGCAGAGCATAGGAAAATTAATCTACTTCAGGTTGCTTGTGATCTAAATTCCTTCCTGAGTAAAAGCTAAGGCTAAGACAGCCTCCTCCAATTGTAAAACTCATAAGAGGGAGCCAAAGAGGGGGAAATGCCATCTTGTGAAGATTTCTCCAGAATTTTCTGTTGGGGGTGGAATTCCTAGATCCAAACATTCATAGAGTTTAAAAGGGCAATTAGATCATCAGGTATGACAACTTGTGTAGCACAGGCCATTAAATTTCACACAGTTGCCCCTATATTGAGCCCAATAACTTGTGTTTGACTACAGCATATTTTCCAGAAAAGCAACCCAACCTAATCTAAAAATATCAAGAGATTGCAAATCCACCACTTCCACTGGTAGTTTGTTCCAATGATTAGTTACCCTCACTGTTAGAAATTTGTGACTAATTTCTAGTTTGATTTTTTCTGGCTTCAGCTTCCAGCCATTGGTTCTTGTTTCTCTGTTAGATTAAAGAGTCCTTTACTATCCAGTAGTTTCTCCCCATGACAGTACTTCTTCTTTCATGAAAGAGACAATTAGTGATGTTCCAGTGACTATGTCCAGATTAAGTGAGACAGCTTTGGGAGATGCTTGATGTAGGTCTGAGATGCCACCTGCGAACGACCAAAGCGGGCACTGATTTAAAATGTGGCCTACAGTTTCTGACTGGTGTTCACAGTCACACTGTGCCTTGCCTGTCATCTCCCGAAGGTGTGAGAGATGACAGCATCTGCCATGCAATGTTCTAAAATGGTTCAATGTGGACCATTGATTCCAGGGCAGGTTGAAGCCTGGAAGTTCTTTTGTGGGGTTGGCAGTCAAGTGTGTGTTTGGGACATTAGCATTATCCCAGATTTCTCTCCAACGTGGATGAGGATTGAATGGGGACACTTTAAGAGCTTTAACTCAATCCCCAAAAGGCGTGCAAGATTTCAAATGTGTTTTCATAAGGTTATGGAGGGCCTCATGAATTGGTAAATTCAGGTTGACAACAGTTTCGTTGTACTCATGAGCTGTACTTGTGTCTCTCCAGATTTTGGATAGGGGTATATGTGCAAGAGTGGGCAACCATTGAACAGGTGTTGATTTTAAAGTTCTAGTTATGATTCTCATCATGGAATTAAGATGCACATCCAGAGATTTTGAATGTGAGCTGCCCACCCAGACTGGTGCACAATCTTCAGTGGCTGAGTATACCAGTGCTATAGTCACTGTTCGAAGTGTGGGTGCACCGGCACCCTATATTGTGCCTGCAAGTTTTCAGACAAGGCTAGACCTTGCCTTTATCTTTTCATGTATCTTTTCCAGATGGGGATTAAGAGTCAACTGTCTTTCTGAGGTTGCATCCAAGGGCTCATTTCAGACCCATTGACCACAAAAAGATGACATTACGTTGTTCTTGGCAGCTTTGTTGTCTAGGTGAAAAGTTACTACCAAGGTTTTGGAGGAGTTGGGGTGGAGCTTCCAGTACTGAAAATATTCTGTCATTATCCTGAGGTCAGTGGAGAGGGCATTGCCGATGGTGGAGAGTGCTTTGCCTTATACAGCAGGAGCAATGTCATCAGCATAAATGAACTTACACAAAATTGTGTTGGGTAAGTCCCTAATGTAGATGTTGAACAGTAAAGAAGCCAGCACGGATCCTTGAGGTAGACCATCCTTGAGGGCGTGTGCTTTGCTGAACTGCCCATTCAGAAGGACACCATATCTGCAGTTGCTCATCATTTGATCCCAATCCTTAAAACAGTCTAGTTTTAGCCAGTGGGCACACTGAGACAGTATCAACTATTGGCATTCATCACATCTAGTAAAAGCCTATGAGGACTAACAGTGGTTGACAGCATGCTTAATGGAGCCTTGTTTTATTTCCAAATCCAAATTAACAAAAGCTCCCTCCCAAAGTGTATCTTCTGCTGCAGCAGCTGTTGCATCCACAGCAATAATGAATGGGGGGGCCTCATTCTTGGGCAATATTTTGTCATCATGAACTATTACTTCTAAGTTCTCCATCATTTCTGTACTAGCTGTCTTGTCTGTGCTGTTTCTTGCAGATTAATTTTTACAATCAATAGCATTATTTGTCCTTCATTTTGTTAATATAAATGGGCTTAACCCCTGTGCGATTTCTGCATACTCTAAGAAACTGTTTAAATGGTGCAAAGATTTACATTATGGAGGCAGCTCTCCTGCAGCCCACATTGGTTTTCTCTCACTCATCCAGTTTCAGTCAGTCCCCTGTTTGTTTCATCTTCCCATCTCCCTCCATTCTTGTCCCCTCCTCCCTCTTTCCCGATAGCTTGGAACAATGTCTATCGTTCATCTTGAGCACAGAAATCCATCGCTGACAAGCTTGCACTCTAAATCTCATCTCCTCTTACAGTAGGGTCATTCGAATTATGGCCTTGAGGGCTTAGAGACTTGTGGGGGAGGAAGGGTGGCAAGTTCAAAGGTCACTCAAAAGTGTTCTCCTCAGAACAATATAATATTAGTTTTCTGACTACCAAACAGGACACGTGACCTATTAAGCTCCAGAATGTGAACAGCCATTGGACCAATTTTTTTAAAATGCCACTTATTGGTTATTGTAATTATAAGAACAATGATTCTTGGCTCTTCAGTAGTGCCTTCCCTGTGAGGATCTCAAAGCATTTCACAGTCACTGACTGATTTAGTCTCACAGTGCCATTTTGAGGCTACTGTTATTATTTATAAAGTACACCAAAGCATGCCAGATGTCTCACAGTTTGGAACAAAGTCAGGCCCCACAGAGTTTGCTATTTAATTAGACAAAACAGACTGAGGAGGGGGCAAAGGGACATCATATAAATATAGGTAAAAGGATGAAGGGGAAATTTGGCAAGTGGCTGGTTAACTGCAAAATTTCATTTAATTTTTTGTTGTTTTGCCCCACCTTTTTCATTATCCTCGCCTTTTCACCATCTGACCCTGATCCTGCCCTCCTGTCTCAAACAGTACACTCCTTCCCCATCTGATCAATGTGTGTCATTATGGTATTATAATTTAGGAACCTTTAGTCTAATTCATTTCAAATTTAGTAAGAAAATTCTACCTTTTCCCCAGAACTAACCTACCAGTTTTGAAGCTGATATTCTTTTGACTATACAGTAGTGCCTTCATTTGCAGGGTGGAGGGCAAAAACCAGATTTCAAAATGAAACACGTTTGGAGCTGTAAACTTCCACAACCCCAGAATTCTGCAAAAAGGCAAACCTCTTGCACCATGTACATCTTCATATGATCATCAATCCTTAGCAGCGGTTGTATCAATCCCAAATGTGATTCTACCCAATCACACTCTGTAAAAGGTTGCATTAACTTGGTGATTGGCAGTTTCCATAGCTTTCAGTGTTACCCAAACATTGCAGCTTAGGACCAGCTCTTAACTAGAGAGAAAACTATGTTCACATGTTAAAATTAAGTCAGGTAAGTAAAGTAATCATATTATGGCAACATGGTGATATATATTACCATACATTTTAAGTATTCAGCCTACCTCTTTCTCCTGGTCTTCCTGGCTGGCCAGGATTGCCTGGAAATCCAGGTCTTCCTGGTGCTCCTTGTTCTCCCTGTGACCCAGGAGATCCTGGTCGACCTGGCTCGCCAGGAGGTCCTGGGATAGTTCGTTCTGAGACAGACTGACTTGGAATCTGGTTCAGAATTGAATTATATCTGGCCATGTGACCTGTGGGGGGAAAGATTCCACCAAATTCAGGACAAAGTGGATAATCTGGCTCAGGGGTGTTTGAAGGGAGTAGGTTGGTGAAAGGGGTGCTGGAAGGCTCTCGTCCTAAGAGGGAGAAGTTAAGAATGTGGTCTGTGATATATGCTAGTTGTGGTGATGATAAAGTGTGTACTTGTGGGTGGAGAAGTATAGGCTACTCTTAGGTAGCCTAGAATATACACTGTTAGAGGGCAGGTACTCTTTGGTGGCCAAGTATATGCTGTTAGAGGGTAGGCACTGTTCGGTGGCATAGGGTATATATTATTAGAGAGTAGATACTGTTCAGTGGTATACAGTATACGCTGCTAGAGGATAGGTATTGTTTGGTTGTCTAGGAAATACTCTGTTAGAAAGTATGTAGTCTTCAGTGGCCTTAGAGGGTAGGTACTGTTTGGTGGCCGTGGGTACAGGCTGTTAGAGGGTAGGCACTGTGCCCTAGGGAATACACTGTTAGAGGGGAGGTACTCTTCGGTGGCCTAGGGAATACACTGTTAGAGGGCAGGCATTGTTCGGTGGCCTAGGGAATACACTGTTAGAGGGGAGGTACTCTTCGGTGGCCTAGGGAATACACTGTTAGAGGGGAGGTACTCTTCGGTGGCCTAGGGAATACACTGTTAGAGGTCAGGCATTGTTCGGTGGCCTAGGGAATACATTGTTAGAGGGGAGGTACTCTTCGGTGGCCTAGGGAATACACTGTTAGAGGGCAGGCATTGTTCGGTGGCCTAGGGAATACATTGTTAGAGGGGAGGTACTCTTCGGTGGCCTAGGGAATACACTGTTAGAGGTCAGGCATTGTTCGGTGGCCTAGGGAATACATTGTTAGAGGGGAGGTACTCTTCGGTGGCCTAGGGAATACACTGTTAGAGGGCAGGCATTGTTCGGTGGCCTAGGGAATACACTGTAGAGGGTAAAAAGAAAAGGAGTACTTGTGTTAGTCTCTAAGGTGCCACAAGTACTTCTTTTCTTTTTGCAAATACAGACTAACATGGCTGCTACTCTGAAACAGTAGAGGGTAGGTATTGTTTGGTGGCTTTTTGTTTTCGTACCAGCTACAGATCTATTCTATGGCTGTAGAAACAGCCACCTAAAATTCGAACATAAGAGATATTGATCTACTTACCTTGGATGAGCTGTTCACACACCTGATGAGCAACCGCACGCACCATTGCCTGGGACTGAATGTCACCCTGGATAACAACACCATCATAGCCACACATTTCTCTTATAGCACTTTTATCTTGAATGTGCTCAGAGAGCCTGTGGGAGGTATGTCTTTATGATCCCTATGTTACAGATGGGGAAAATGAGGCAGAGAACCTCTGGGACTTGCCCAGGGATGTTGATAACAGAGTTGGAAATGAGAAACTCCTGTTTTCAGACAACAAACAAAAGGCTGGGGATGGTAACCACAAAAGAAGATCATGGGATATGCTCACTGATACACGCACATTGTTACTTTCTTTTTTAATTTTATTAAAATTTAGGGAGAGGGACGGAGATTAGTGAAGAAGAAAAGTTTGTCAGATTAGATCTAAACTCACCATAGCTATGAGTAGAGTGAATGTAAATTACTGCGGTGGGGGGTTTATGGGACAGAAGGTCAGACTGAAATGTATTTGTGGCTGTTGAATATGGCTACAGAGTACTTACCCGCTCACCCCTTTCCCCCTTTGCACCAGGAGCACCCTGTTAAAAGATTAAACAAAGTTAATTCTTACCTTTCTCTCTAGTTCTAAGTACTGTATGTTTGAATCTCCAAATATTAGAGTATTACAGTGAAAAGAAGGAAGGTAAACAACTCAGTTTTAGAACCCTATTTAACCCTGGCGAACGGACAGCAACGTTCTCTTAAATATGCTCTTTCCTTGTCAACACCCAGCAGGTATTTCTCTTTCCATGACTGAGTAGCAGGCGGTTACCTTTCCCAGCTTTTGTCTCTCCACTGTTCCTCATTTCTGACCCCTGAGTCTGGGAAAACTCATCCCGCCTAATGGCTGTGAGTGCTGTCTCTTTCTCAGAGCTAGTGTAGCCAGGATGATATTCTGGAAACACAGGGGGGCTTCTGTTCCCTTGCTGCCAAATTCACCTTTCTCTTCACACTGTATTCTGTTGCCTCGGTTGTCTCTAAAATGGCGCTTGGGCCAACAGCAGTGCGGACTGAAATCTGCTGCACAAATGTACCCGCTTTTGAACCTGGCCATTCTGTAGGTTTTGGTGGATGCAGCCCTGATTTTCTGTCATTTTTGACCTCTCCAGTAAGACTTCAGGCACGCTCAGAGTTTGGCCTCATATGACCTTCAGGCATATCTGCACTTACGAAAATTTAGACCAATTTCTGGAGCATGTGCCTATATTATTGTCAATGCTCCAGTTCCAGGTAAGTTTTATAGCTCACCAAATCTCTTAATTGGGCATTTCATTATTATACTGGTAGAGTATGATGAAGAGAGTGTTAGTGTATTATCTTCGCTTATATTTTATCATCAGTCACTATATTCCCATTTAGCCAAATATTTCAAATGCTTCTGTTAGTATAAATCGCCAAAGCCGACTGGATGTTTGAAAAAAATCTAAAATTATTTAGTATTCTACAAATCAAGCCAGACGTGCAGCTGGACAATGTCAGACTCAAATACTTTCTAGAACATGAGATTATAACATCCATTATGATATATAAAAATATTTTTAAGCAGGCTACATAAGGAAACAAATGTTAAAATGTTAAATTCATAATTTATGAATTCAAAATATTTAGGTGAATAGCTACACCTAAAAGGCCAAATGAAAAACTCCAAAACTATCACTAGTGTGGAATTTATACCCTCATTTTATAGATTTTTTTTTTACTTAAAATGTTTTCTTTCATGTATAAAACAAGTCATTGACATTTAAATGGTAGAAAAATTGAGCATTAGATCCTGAACAGAATCAAGAGCCCAAGGCTCTCACTGACATCAATGGCAAATTTTTCTGTAGTTGAAGCCTGTAATTACAGTTTAAAAGTGGGTCTGATTCTGATGTCATTTACACCCATGTAAATCAGGAGTACACTCACTGAAGTCAACAGTGTTACATTGGTGGAAAACCAGTATAAATAAGATCAGAATCAGGCTACTTTGAAAAAATGCCATCTTTGTGGAAAGTGTTAAGTCTAATAAAGCAGGAACATTTTATTTTCTTTAGCGTAGTTTGAAATGGAAAGAAAATTAAACGGCTACATTCAGAATATGAATTCCCATCCTGTATGCTTTTAACCTTTAAGGACAATGTCTTTTCTTGATGCTTTCATGCATATATTTCTACACAACATTTTAAGTCAGACCAAAAGCAAAACAAAACTAAAGAAAACCTAAATTAAAACAACAATGGGATGTTTCGTTTAGTCATTAATTGCAATCAGCGTGAGTGCTTTATGAGCAAATGGACCACAATTCTGGGTCCTGTGTAGCTTTTGTAATGGATAACAGCAAAGGTTAGACACCGAATAGCACAGGACTGCTAATATATAAGGATTATGTAAGCTTACTTACAGGAGGTCCAACACCACCTTGTGGCCCAGTGTTTCCCGTAACACCTGGAACACCAGGAGCACCAGGTATTCCCTAAATGGAAAAAGAAAGAGTAAAGAGTTAATTGTGACATCCACATCAATGAGTTCTTATTGACAAAAATACTTAAACACAATTTTTGTAATATATGGTCAGCATCCTAGCTACAGCAGTTCCACAATGATGCATTGGTCATTTGAAAAGTGAGAAGACTACACATTATGCATAGTACACTACATTAGATTATTGCTGCTAAATTTAGTCCTTTATCAAGTCCTATGGATCCACTTTCATGTCCATAATAATAGAAGCCAGAGATGAAATGTTTATTGTCATTGTTTTCTTTTTTAAATGACCATTAAAATATAAATGAATTCTGAATTAATAATCCTTATTAAAAATCAGAGAAAAGGTCAATTTACAAATTTGAAGAAATTGTGAATTAAACTACCAGCAGATTGCCTCACACTTCAATTCCTCAAAAAATTGAAACATGGACTATATTTAAAACTATACACTATTTGGAGACCCCATGCAATAGGCACAAGAAGGTGAATTAAGAATGAAACTATACCTGTTCTAGATGCGCTTTGCACAGTGATGAATATTCATTAATGTAATGCATTAGTTAATGTCAGCTCAAAACAGGTAAAGAAATAGGTGCTGGGCAGTATTTATTTATTTAGAATTATGCAAATATCATAAAGGGTAATAACACTATTATTCAGCTAGTAACACATTCTTTTTTCAATGTGTAGCTACATAATTTCACAAAGGAGTAAAAGGCCCAATCCTACAATCCTTAATCAGACAAACCTCCCATGGACTTCAGTGAGTCTGAGGGTCCAGGGCTGTGGGGCAAATTTTAACCCAGCACTTGGCCTGAGTAACTAGGGAGCGGCTGAACAAAAGAAAGAATCCACCCCTCCCCAGATTGCTGAGTAGTTATGGAACAACCATGTGGAAGTTACTGCAGCTTGATGTTCTGGAATCACTGAAGGGTTTACACAGCAATGGATCCTTTGGCCTTTTCTTCCTCCAGGCCCACCCAGTCCCAATCTCACCCCTCCATACACTGTGTAACCACAGCTGTTCTGCTACCATGGCACTTCCTGTGACTGTAGCTTCGGGGGCAAGATTTGCACCCACATGAATCCTCAGATCTTATTTCCCAAATGGGTCAGGTTCATTGCCTCTATCCTCATGGATTATTTCAACTGTTTTTTCCCCCACTCCTGTAGGACCCCAAAGTAGTAATGATGTTAGTGCAGTAGCCAAGGAATGGGGAAGGGGAAACTCAGGAGATTGCAGGTGGACTTTTACTTTCTAAATATTTTATTTTCTTGTCACTAACATGTAAATAATAGATGGTCTTGTGTCCTGATTCTGGCTAGTTCTAATAAAGTAATAAAATAAAAGCCCTTGTACATTTTTCAGTGTCACAAGCCTTCAAATAAGGAATTCAAACCACAGATTGTGAATGTCCAAGGTGCATGTATTCCTTCCACAAAGTTATCTTCTATCCTAGTCAGTGTTAACAGCAACAACTTTAGGGTCAGATTTTGCCACGCTTGCTCATAATGTGTAGTACCTTACCCACTGATTTCATCTGCCCTACTACAGAACATAAGTAAGACTGGCAGAATCTGGCAATTAGAGAATATTTAAAACCATCACAGGCAAATTGGCCCACGGTTCTCTATAACCCCACTACAAATCTTGCTAGTAAATATATCACTCCTAAAAAATGTATCTGCCAGAGGCAGATTTATAACACAAGGAACAAAATTCTGCCCTCAGATGAATGTGTACTGCTCCCACTGAAGCCAGCTGAGGTCAGACTCTGGCCTCTAGATGATCTCTTAATTATTTTGTGAAATGTTTGAATACATTCTACAGGGCTTCAGCTGCATGACCTGGGGCAATGAACTCTGGCGGCTCATGTCAGAGAACAAGTCCAGATTGGAACTTCCCACAAGACTAGAGTCTCTGCCTCATCTCAATGCCAAGGGCTATTAGTCCACTTTACACAACGCAGCTACTTTACTTACCACAAGATGGCAGCCTATTTATTGAGTGACTCAATCTCCCTTTACCATGGGGGAGTCATTGTATCTCAAGGTAAGAATCCAAAGAACTGGCATAGCACGGTCAGCTCTCTGCCAAACTCATGATTAATCTGAATTCTAATCTCCAGTGCAATCGGCTATTTAGCCCCAGCTGGCACAGACAGCAACCTACATCCTGAAAAGACCTCAACTCATACAGTAATAAATCTCACATAGACAGTACTTACCACTGGCCCAGGAGGACCTTGGGGCCCTGTGGGTCCATCTTTGCCAGGTGCACCCTAGAGAAGAGGAACATGGAAATTAATCAACAAGCTTCTTAGAAGAGTTATACTTTCCAAGTCCAGATAATTTCTTCTAGAAGGCAACTCACTTTTAATTTTGTTATTAAAAGATTTTGTTAAGAAAGAAAGAAAGAAAGAAAGAAAGAAAGAAAGAAAGAAAGAAAGAAAGAAAGAAAGAAAGAAAGAAAGAAAGAAAGAAAGAAAGAAAGTTGAGGATTGGTCCTGCTTTGAGCAGGGGGTTGGACTAGATAACCTCCTGAAGTCCCTTCCAACCCCAGTATTCTATGATTCTATGAAAGAAAAAGAAAAAAAATTCACCTCATCCAGAGGGCCAGCAGAAGCCTACATACCATTCAAGTCCCACTTAGGACCTCAGAACAATGTTTAAGTGGGATGAAGTGGTACGTAAGTCTTGTGTTGAAGCTCTGCAAAAGGGCAAATTTCACCTATAATGTTGGATGAGAAGATTGCTCTTTTGTGAATTTTAAGCACTCTGAAAACTCTTACTAAAATTACCTGAGATGGATCCCAATCCTACCAACTCTTCTTCACACAGATCATTGTTACTCATGTGACTATGCCCATTGACTTCATGATGAAGGCATTATCAGAAAGGAAAGTTTCATTGCCCAGAAATAGTGCACAGCTTTATTGGACACCACAGAGGCCCTGATTCAGGAAGCTGCTTAATGAGACTTCATTGGGCATATTCATGAATGAAGTTACACACTTAAGAACCTTCCTGAACCAGAGCCAAAGACTACCCCATACTAGAGAGCAAATTACTCATGACAGGAAGTGTACAAATGTAGAAGAGTAAAGGATACTTATGCATATTAATCAGGAAGCACATTTTTCCATTAACATACTCTAAATCATAACCCCACCAATTGTTCTGATCATTAATCCAGAACCAATATTTGGAAAAGTTTGCTAGTTCTAAAAGCATTTATATTTGTCCACCAAAAGGCTCCCAACCCTGACAAGTTACAATATATTGTGCGCAACCTTAAAAAATAAATCACATAATACTGGTTTTCTTCTTTCCCTCCTTCCTCCTCCCCTTAAATTCTGATGATTTTAGCAGTGGTTAGGTGACAAACTACTAGATGCAGAGCCGTCCCTTGGGTAGGGCAAATCGGGGCGACCACCCCAGGCCCCATGCTTTGGGGGCCCCATGCTTTGATAAAATCGGGACTGTCCCAATATTTAGTCCTTTGTCCCGCATCCCGACTGATGTATGATCAGGATGCCATTTGTCCCAATATTCAGGTGAGGAGGCGAAAGGGCAGATGGGCCGGGGTGAGGAGGCAGGTGGCGGGCGGATGGTGCCAAGGAGCGGCGGTTGGGTGGACACGGCGTGTGTGCACCAGATGGACAGCAAAGAGACTAGCGGGGAGGTGAGCAGCGGGCAGGCAGGTGAGGAGGTAAGCGGCAGGAGGGCAAGAGGGAGGGAGGTGAGGAGGCAGATGGGCATGCAGATGGCGAGGAGGAGAGCAGCGGATGGACGGGTGCACTGGATGGGTGGTGATGAGACTAGCAGGGATGTGAGCTGTGGGCAGGCGGGTAAGGAGGCGAGCGGCAGGCGGGCGGAAGGGCGAGGAGGAGAGTGGTGGGAGGGCAGGCGGGGTGAGGAGGCAAGTGGTGGCTGGGCGCGCTGGGCGGACAGTGAGGAGACTAGTGGGCAGGCTGATTTGTCTCGAGCCCCATACCCCCCTAGGAACGGCCCAGACTAGATGTAATGCTTTAGCATTTGGAAACTGTGATTCTAACCTGCTTATATATGGTATAAACCATTGGTTTGAAAATTTATCTTCGGTGTAACTGGAAAATATTCTCTACTCTGCTGTAAAGGTGTTTAGGTGACAAAATAAGTATATCATATAACTTATCCATATTATATCAACTATCCACACTGTGGATAAGGGATGCTTTCCTGTTTCAAAGTATACCACTATGATTCCTAAAGCTTCAAGAGCCCTATAAGGCCCCCTCATTATGATAAGAACTAAAGAATAAAAAAGAATGGTGATGTTACCATGAATAAATGCCAGTGTACCTGAATCCACTTTAAAAGTATAAATAAACAAATAAATAAATTTTGTTCATTTCAAATCAAATCAGCAAATCAAGAAAAGTTTGCTCAGCTCATGAAACTGCAAATTCTAAAGGTATGACAAACTCTACCCATGAATAACCCGTGAAATGAAATCAAAAATAAAAACTGACAAATACAAACGGTGTTTCTGAGCTTGATGCGGGTAGTAGCCATTTTGCTAAAGAAGTGTTTTGTTTTTAAGAACGTTTTGAAAAATTTATGTTAGACAGTCTTCATTTGTGACACTCGCAGTATGGAAGCCCCTTACAAAGTGATGTGAAGCAGAATACCTGTTTGTTTTCATATTGGTTTAACTCTCACGAAAACTGATGCTTTGATATTTAAACAAACTGTTTAATTTTTTAAAAACAAGTAGGTGAAAACCTGTCCCTGTTGACTTCAATGGGGCCAGGATTTCATCCAGAATATTTTATGGAAGTCTTTCCACTGACCTCCAAGGAGCTGAATTGGACTCAAAGAGTCTCCACACTACTGCCATACTTCCCTTCCCACCCTGCCAGTAAATGGCAGGAACTAACAGTAAGCTTAGAAATGCTGGTTTTTCTTTGAATGTAAAGTTTTTAATTACACTTCATTTATTCCCACAGGGCAATACTTCTTACTCTTGGCTGCTGGAGAATGTCTCCTTGCATATCCTGGGGGTGCATTTCTCTTGGCACTGTTTCTGTATCTCTTGGCCATTTAAAATGGTCTCCCGCTGTATTTGTTAGGTGTGAAAATTGCCGTTTATAAATTAAGTCAAACAGGAGTCTGTCTCAAGGAGCAGTATGGTCGTAAATGTTTGTTGTGCTAACCCAGAAGTATAAAATATATAACAGTGTGGTTTGTTTATGCCACCATGAGGGTTAGTGGTTTTTCAGATTATTTGATAGCTGATATGTGTTTTAGACTAATTCTGAACATATGTAGCATGGGGTGGTGGTTAGGAAGAGGAATTGGTAGAAAAAAATGGAAATGTGTTTCTGTTGGCTGCTTATGCCACTAATTTTGGTTGAGTAAAGACTGTGTGAGCTCACAGAATAGTACTCAGAATACTAAAACATTGGGATACTGTGCATTGTTTCATTTATTGAGCTCTCTTTTGATGGCTTAACCCAAATATTGTCATCTTTTGGAAATATGGTACTATACCTCAGATGTGGTCTTATTCAGTAAACTTAGTAGTCAAGGATTCATGAATTTGCTCCAGATACTCCTGTGTCTAGGAACCAGATATTTCAGATTTACATGCATATAAGAGCTGAATCCACACTCAATGCCTGGATTTCAAAACTACCCCCAAATACAGAGAAGTTTAGATTTGAATGCCAACCAAAAATTATCCAGCATTATTTTGTAAGACTGGTTTAGTTCAGGGCATATTGTGCTACTGAACTTAAATACATGCATGAGAAATCAATATCAGTGGTGTATTTTGGGGTAAAATGCTACCTTAGGGATTAAATTCACCCATGTGCAGTGGGCAGAATGAGACTTAAACCTGATTTAAGACTGTGGGTAAAATTCTGACCCCAATGAAGTCCTTGTGAGTTTTCCCACTGATTTCAAAGGCACCAAGATTTCACACCTTGAACATACGTGGTACTTAGGCTTTTTTTTGGCCTTCTGCAGAAGGGTGATTTTCACTCTAAAGGCCAACTATGGAGTCCTGCATGTAGGCAAAACTCTCACTGAAGTTAGTGAACCCCATCATTCAGTATTTACTCATAGAAAACTACTGAGCGTGTCCAAGCAAAGGCTGCAGGATAGGATATAATGGCAGGCCAGGCTTGTCTGAACAGAATCAAGCCCAATGCCAGTATACTCGAGACTTCAAATATTTGTTTTTGCCAGATCAAAAGCTCAAAAAGTAGTGTTGTTCCCTCCCACATTTCACCACTGTAAAGGATTTTTGAAGTTATTTTGCATTAGTTTTTACCCTTATGCTAATTCATAGTAATAGTGGCAGGCATACAATTATCCAGTTAATTCACTAAAATACTACAGACTACTTCAGTAATGTCAATCTGCAGATGTGAGGTGGTTCACAAAAGGGCTCAGTTTTGTTCTGACTAAATAAAGCTAATTCGGGAAAATACTAGTAAAGTGATTTCTAGAATCTTTCACTGCTCAGAATACACATCCTTTTAATGTAATGACAGTGTTTGGAAAGTTGACAGCACAAGCCAAACTAGACTAGTTCTGCTTCACAGCAGTTGAACACAGTAATGCCCATTTAATATCCCACCTCACCTTTGTAGTACAGCAGATTAAAAGGAATATATTTGAGTCATCCCCTCTAAGAGCTGACATACAAGAAGTTTCTCTTTTATTTTTCACATTTTAAAACTCAAAAGGTCCGATATGGTGTACTCTGCTAACCACGTAAATGCTTTTTCCTCCATTGTTTATACTATGCTGCTAAAAATCTTGTTTTGAAAATAAAATTCCCTTCCTTACCAATCTGGTCCTTTTCTATTCCACACATGGGGCTGAGCAGGTAGAAGTGTGTCACCATGGCCAGGAGAAAGCTCTGAAGGACCAGAAGAGTTAAATGCACCTTCCAGCTGGGCTAATGCTGGCAAGCAAGGTAAAGCAGCAGATGGTCAAAGCCCTCCCACCTGTTCCTGAGCTACTAGTACACCCATGGAGCAGCTCAAGGGAAGGTAGTCACCTGACACCACATCTCTTCTTCTCTGCTTCCTGGTGCTCAGCAGAGACATGGTGAAGCACATGCAATAAAGCAGTTTCCTCTTTCCAAGGCTACCTGCCTATCTGCTAAATCATTCCTGGCTGCAACCCCAACACCAGCATGTTGTTCTTGTCCCTCTGCCAAGGAGAAGTCTGGTGTGCAGGGGGAGTCCCTAGGGAAGATGGAGGTGGCGGGGATGGAGGGGGG